TGTTACAAAGTGAAGACCACAATTACTAAATAAGAAAACAAAGACAATTGTTTTGGGACAGATAAAAATAAAAAAATAAGATAATTCTATTGGGACGGAGGGAGTATTATTTTATAAAAAAAAACAACACTAAAATACTATTTAATTAAATAAAAACTCCAACCTCAACCCAAACTTTCAAACAAGCACATCAAAAGGATAAAGACAGAATTCTCTAGAAGAGATAATAATTGGTAATTGATGAATGTGTTAAGTGTGGTGGGGTTTTTGCCTTTAATTTATATTTATAGAGTTAGGGTTTAGGGTTTAAATTTTGCTTTAGATTTTATTTATATTTATATTTAGGGAAACAAAATATTATATTTTTGGTGCTACCATAAATGCTTTATTTTATTTCCTTTGAAATTTAATTTGATTCCATTGAAATCAAACGAATTAATTATATTAGGAAGCTTCTCATTTATACATATTTTTTACTTATATGTTAATAAATCCCTCGAGATTTTTAATTATGATATCATATATATATATAATTTTGCGTTTTCATAATTTTGAATTTTTTTAAATATTAAATCTGAATAATTAATTAAAATTTTTTACAGTAACTAATAATCCAATAAAATAAAAATTTATTATATAATAAATAACAAAAATATAGATAAAATTAGAGTTTTATTATCTATACGGATACTATACATTTAATTCTATAAATTATTAGATGTTAAAATTTTTAGTTTTATTTTTAAAAATCATATATATATATATTATTTATATTAATATTTTTTCGATTTTAAAATTTTTGAATCATATTTTTGTTTTACTTATACTAATATTTTTTTTGATTATTTGATACAGAAAACACAAAATAAAATTTCAAGCAATGTTCATGGTTCTGTGCTCTTTCAATCTAATGATCATTAGATGTTTGTAGTTCGACCAAAATTTTATAAAATGTAACAAAAAAATTTTGTTCGTTTTTACTTTATCTTAATTTTTCTTAAGTTTATAATTTTTGTTGATTGATATTGTGGTGACTAAAACGTGTTTTCACACATTTTTTAAGGACTCTTACATACAATTTGATCATATTAGATTTTTTTTTTGACCTGACTGGCCCGTAATTTTTTTCTTTATCTTAAAAAACACTACTAGAAAAAAAAGTTGATAATTGCGGAAATTTGTCGCAAATTTTAATCTGTGATAATTAAAAGTCACGGAAAGTAATTTCATGACAAATTTATGTCACAATTTTTTGTTTTGACTATTTCGTAAGTAATATTTGTAGAAAAAGCTACAAACAACTTTCCGTGACTATTTAAAGTAACGGTTTATGTAACGAAAATGTCCAAGATATTTCTATTCCGTGTATTTTGATTATTTCGTCACAAAAATTGTCACAAAATTTTTTCTTGACTATTTTAAGTTGCGGCAAAAATAACCAAAATATTTCCAACATTTTAAATTATTACAGATATTGTCATAGTATAATTTTCATGACTTTTTAAAATCAAATGTCACAACATCAGTAACGAAAATAACTATAATTTTTTTTTTATTATTATTGTTTGTAGCTATTCAAAGTAATAACAAAATAATAAAATCATTTTCAATATCTTTATTCAATATCGTTCGTAGTTATTTAATTTTTTGTTAAAAATTTATGATGATATATTAAATAAATATGTATATATTTTTAAAATATAAATTTATAATCAATAATATTTATATAGTTAAAATATAATAACAAACAAAAAGTAATACTTTAGAGTAGATAGCTAAGTTGGCATGACAGGTCGTGTAAGTCTTGTAATTTCGAAAAAAAATAATCGTGTGTGCTTGCATTGAACAAAAATTATAATATAATTATTTTTTTTTCAAAAATATAAAATCACAGAATTGTTATAGCTTTCGTTAATATAAAGTCACAGAGTTGTAATGGTATTATTTTGTAACTTATTGTCACGAAAATGTCACAATTATAAAATATTCACGAAATTTTGTTGCACCTTTTGTTGCTATATAAAGTCACGGATATGTCATGGTATTATTCTATAACTTATTGTCACAGAAATATCACTACTTAAAAAAAGTCACCAGCAAAATTCAACGGAAATGATTCCGTATATTTTTTCGTGACTTTTTGGTAAAAAGTCACCAATTTGTACTAAAATCGTGACTTTTTTTACCGCAACTATAGCCTAATTTTCTGGTAGTAAAAAATTTCGTATTAAAATTTATCGTATTTCTTTCGTATTTTATTTGCAAATATAATTTATTATCGTTCTCCATATTATTGCAAGGGGATTGTATTTTTTATTAATATATAGTGAAATTCTTACAATAAAACTTTTTTTTTTAATTTTAAAAATTTTATACTTAATTATGCATAACGAATATCGTATTATACTGATTATATTATTCTTATTGTTATATATTATTTTTTGTTTCTACTAATCAATTATAATATTCATATCATCAAAAAAAAAAAAGAAAAGAAAAGAAAAAAGATGTGGCAAAAATGACGAAGAAGCAAAAACATAATATAATGTATGTATTTAATTTTACTTCTTTATTGAGTTTTTTTACTAACCAAATTTTTATTTTTATTGTATATGCATTTTTCTCAAATTCATTTAGTTTTTAATATAATATTTTAATAAATTTTTCAATTTTGTAGATTATATTTAAATTTTGAATTTTTTTTATTTGAAAAAATATTTAAAACATTCATACGAACAAATTTTATTTTTATTGTAGTAATTTTATTCTTATTGTGTATGTATTTTATCATTATCTATTTTATTATTCTTATCTTTTATAAATTAACTCTTTTTGTGTATATTATTTTTTAAATTGATTTGATTCGATAATATTATATATATAAATTATAAGTATTATTTATTAAAAATATTAAATCAATATATAATTTATATGAAAATAACTCGTAAATAGCACGTTAATATATATAATATAATCACATCAAAAATATATTATTCTGAACTTGAGAATCTCAACACAACTTATATTTAGATTTTTGGTGCTACCATAAATAATTATGATTATATTTAATTTTATTAAAATATTTTTATTGTATTTGATTTCATTGCGATAAAATTAATTATATTTGGTCCTGCCACAAACTTTTCAACGAACACACATAATAATTACTCCCTCCTTCTCATGTAATATGAGTGTATTACTGTAGACACGAAAATTTATGTAAAGTATAATTAGTAAGTAATTAAGAAATATATTAGTAAAAATAATTATTATTTAGTAAAAATAATTATAAATTAAGATTAAGATAACTAAATAGTTTAATTAAGATTAAAAATAATTTAAATTTTAAATTTTAAAATATGATTAAAGTGTATAATTAATTTTTCAAAAATAGAAAGGACAAATTATGTGGGATGGACGAAAATAGAAAATAGGAACAAATTATTTGGAACGGAGGGAGTATATAACTAAAATTTTAAAATAATTAGGTGTTTGTTTGTGAGTTTTAGAGGTATATTCAATTACGATTTTAATAGATTTATTTGAATTTTAATAAGTGAATTTTAGTTAATTTGAAAATTTATAGACTATGCAGAGTTTGGTTGATTTTATTTATTGATTTATATGAATTTAATAGATTTGATTGGAGTGCTTATTGATTTACAAAGATTTCATTAAAATTTATAGAATTGTGAATTAAAAATACATTAGTTCTAAAAAATTATACTTCCTCTGTCCCTTAAGTAGATATTCGTTTGTTATTTGTACAAAATTTAAGGTATATTAGCATTAAATTGATACGTAGTAGGAATAAAATAAAAATAACTAAAATAATTTATTAGTATTATATAATATATTGTAAGTTGAAAATTATTTGTAATGTTAGATAAATTAAAATTAAAAAATTTAAAACATGATTGAAAAAACAAGAATTATTTGTTATAAATAAAAAAATATAAAAATAAACAAAACATAAATTTGATGGACGGGTAGAATAAATACTTGATTTAATAATTATGCAGGAAAAAACGTTTTATGAATAATGTGATATCAAAAAAGTCACAACTTAAAAGAGCATGAATAATGCAATCAAAGGCTGGCTTTGATACTAATAAACACACACGCCTCACCAGAGCAGTATCGGCCCACATCTCAATATAAATTATTTTATGTAAATTATATAATACCCTTATGTTTTAGTAAAAATACACAAGTGTTATATTTATTACGTAAAAATCTTGTGTTAATATAAAATTTACGTAAAATACCTTATTTGTCCAAAAATAATATTTTATTATAAATAAAAATTTAAATTACATAAATTTTATACAAATAAAAAAACGTAAAATATCTTAAATAATTTTTTGAATAAAATAAATAAATAAATAATTGATCAATCAATTATTTTTATAGCTTCTATAAAAAAGATAACAGTCAATCTCTAAAAACTATAAAATAAAAAATTAATCAATTATATATGTATTTATTTTATTAAAAAAAATATTTAAAATATTTGCATTTTTATTTATATAAAAATTGAGTCTTTATTTAGAATCAATTATCAATTTTGAACAAGAGAGTATTTAGTGCAAATTTTATATTAATACAAAGAGATTTCAAGCAATAAATAAAACACTGTTGACTTGTGCATTTTTATTGAAAAGACAGAGGGTGCTACATAATTTACTCTAAATTCTTTCACATGAACCTTAAAACACTTCACCCATTTAAGAATTACCCAAAAACAAATACATTCACAACAGACTACGAGACTAGAGCTACCAAAAAAAACTCGGTCCAAAAATTCGATTCGAACCCGACAGCCCGGCCGGAAATTGGCACCCCTATAGGAAACGCCAACATTGCGTAAAAGGAATTGCAACTAAAGCACAACAATAGTCTGTCAATAACCGATCAGTCGACTCATTCTACGGAAATGAAAGCCGGAAAAGAAATTATCGAAAGCTATCGATCTAGTAAGATGCACAGATCCACAAAAATGGAAGAACGCAATTCAGTTTAAAACTATTGAATTAGTAACAAGCTGCATTTTAGTCGGTAGCATTTTAACAGTACGTGCGAGCAGAGCATGTTGCACACAAAGGTTAGTTACGACTATGTATTTATATTCGAAGAATTTTGAGGGGAGGAAACGTACTCTTAAGATCCCTGCAGCGGTATTGGCTTCACGACGCTTTTGATTCTTTGAAAAGCTGTCCTCACTCGTTCTTTTAGACCTTCATTCTCGCTTTCAACCTCGCCCGTTTGCTTATTTAGATGCGCCAAGCTACCGTCGACGTTGATCAGCAGCTTACCCTCCTCGTCATATTTCACTTCTCCAAACAGAGACACGAGAAGTGCGTGTATGATCTTGTCAGCCTTTTTGGATTCTTCTTCGTCAGTGTTTTCGTGTTCGGATTCGACAACAACTTTTGGCAAATCTCTACTGGCATTTAGAATTAGCGCCACGACTGAGTCGGAGACCATGTCGCTGATAGGATCAGCTGACCAGTGTAGGGACACGTGATTATCCGAATCCTGCTTCACTGTCACCCGGTCATGAACTTTCAGTGTTGGTACTCCAGATTCGTCGTCTGTTGAGGATTCCACGCTTTCGTATATCTGCTTTAGCCTGTGTTTGATAACCGCAAAGGCACCTGAGTATTGGATCGTGATTCTCTGGATGATATTTCCGGTGGAGAGTTGGGAGAAGATGTGAAGATCCTCGGGAGCCATTATCTGATAGGTGAAGCCTTTCTTGACAAGCAAACCGCTGACGGTTTCGCCAACAGCAGGCGTCTTTTCTGCCAATTTTCCGATCGCTTTCGCCATTTTTTGAGAGTTGAAGTGCATTTCAACAGACTGGCAATTCTTCGGGGTTATAATCTTTGTGTTTCCATCGGCAAAGACGGAAAGAAGCTTCTGCTTGAGCCTTCCCATCTCATTCGCTTCACCATGAACCAATATGATATTAGGAGGCATAAGCTCTTTCAGGAAAGTGCTCGTCTGGCTATAATCGGCGTGAGCAGAGAAGGAAATATAGTGTACCCGCATGTTGAGAGGAGCCGCCAAACCACTTGCTAGAGTGACTTCTTTGGGTTCATTAATAATCGTCTTGGCCAACGTCCCTTCCACTACATAACCGGGAATAACGCAAGCATTTTTCTTGTCCGAGCACCACTTGTCAAACAGCTGTCTTGACAATCCACTTTGAAGCCCGCCAGGGCTTGCCATTACAACTGCCGGGCCGACATCGCGGAAATCATCAAGACTCTTCAGAGGGGAGATGTGCTTGAAATCAAAAGGATTTGAATTGGCGAACTGATTCCGGATTCTCTCGTTCATGGAGTTAATATAAGTTTGGTAAACTGCCATGCACCTTTTCGCGAGGGGGGAGGCGTAATAAATTGGCACGTTGTGGAGATCAGGATGGCTTGACCAGAACTCATCCAATATCAAGAGTAATTCCTGTGCTCGACCAAGGGCAAAAGCAGGAATCAGAACACGACCGCCTTGGGCAACAGTAGAGTGGATAACATCCGTAAATAGCTTCTCTCTTATGTGACGTGGTTGATGGATTTGAACACCATAGGTTGATTCGATAATGCAAATATCAGGGGAGAATTGGGGGAGCTCAGCAGCACGAAGATGTCGGTCCTCTTCGCGTGAATAATCTCCGGTATAGAGGACCCGGACACCGGCTATGTCAACCATAAACATAGCAGCACCAAGCACATGCCCAGCAGTATAACACCAGAACCGGACACCATTGACCTCCAGAGTTTGATGGAAATCAATAACCTGAAATCCGAGAAAAAAATTAAAATTGCTACTTATAACTTCATGGATTAATAGTTGAAAGTAAAACCACACAATGTCATTTATTCAGTTGACATTTATATAAATCATATCAATAGAAAATCATTCTCCACATATTAACTGACAATATCAATTCTAAAGTAATTTGAAGCACAAAAAATCTTAGCTGATCATAGTAAAACTATAGGCAGATAATACATCATCTTTATGTTGGACCACATGATAACTTTCTAGACGAGCTGAAATTGATGTTTAAGTTTCAGATATCATAAAACTATGAAATTATAAGTTATTTAAGCCATTAATAATGGAGAAAGCAGGAATGATTATGTCTGCACACTTGTCAGCCGTAACTACTTTCATTTGGCAATTTAGGGGGAACCAATTATCCAAACAAGTAGTTAAGAATTAGTTTTCACTTTCAACAGATGAAACATATTGGTCAGTTGAAATAAATTTAAATCAACCCTCACAGCCTGATGAGTTTAATCACATATCTATCCTGATATTTTCTCCATGCCATGGGAGGCATGAGGTTCAAACCTGCAACAGGTTTATCCAATACCTCCAGCTTGGATTGAGCTCTTCTTGACTAGACATGAAGTGTCAAGACAATGCTAGGCTGAAGGTGCACAAACGTGAAAAAGACACTTGTTACTACAAGTTACTTATCAAGCAGTCAAATTCAGGTTATTAGCAGTTAATGCATAAAAAATCGACAAAATTTCAAATGCTTTGTATGCGAACAATAAATCTTTTGAATTCTCAAATTCTGTTCCAAAACTATTTCAGATCTACAGATCATTCCCAACTAGATAAAATAATCATAAAATAAGGGGCAGGTAAAGTTATTTTTCTGAAGCTACATGGGTCCTGATTCCATTCAAATATGACTAACATGTACAAAAGTTAAGACGAGTCATCCCCCAACCAAAGTAATAAAATCATATATTAAGGTGCAGACAAAAGAATGTCAAGTAACTGTTTCCCAAGGCTACCAGATCCAAATATAACTAACATCTACATTCAAATTAGGACAGACAACAAACCTCAATTTTGTCCATGGAGCGAAGTATGTCTTGTTCATCATATAGCATATCGTCAACTGAGACCTTGCTAACTTTAACATAATCAGAGAGAAGCAACTTATAAATGGCTTTAGTAGCATGAGTCATATAAACCTTTCCCCTGAATGTAGTCTGAAACACAAAAACAAGAAGCTGAATCCATCAGCATATATTTTAGTAACATACGCAGAATGTAATGTAATAATGTTACAGTCAACCAGACCTTCTCCAGAAAATAAGGAAGCGACGCAGCATGGTCCAAGTGAAAGCTGCACATTTCGAATAACCACAAGTCCATAAGAGAGAGAAAAGACTTGAGGAAATTGGATTAATATTATGATCACTGAAACAGGTATAGATATTTGATTTTGATCAAGATTAATGAGCAACCAAGTATACAAAGATAAGATCAATCACGGCACAAAAGCATCTCCCAGGGTCACAACATGAAAATAGAACCACAATACGTAGTGTGCAATATAAATCAATTAATTGAATTTAAAAATAAAACTCAAGTAAACTGTTAATCATTTGCACAAAACTAATAACTAAAAACTCACAATGCCAACCAAAACTTGATGGTTCTTAAGTGAATTATTCACATATACGATAAGCCACTCGACAAAGTGTGATCAACAGAATTCTAAACTTATCTCTAAGTTATATCACAATATCTACTATCAATCTAAAGCCACCATCCAGATGCCAATAAATTGCTTGCCATTGCCAAGAACCAAATTGATACCTCAAAATCACTTAGAAAATCATTCAAAGATTCTACAATAATATAAAATCTATCAAAAGAACTACTATCAAAGTTTACAAAAGTGCATACACAGAAGCCAAAAACATATTACAGCCGAGTAATTAAGGATCATTTTGATGCATAAAGATCACTAAGCTAACATTGAAGTACAATTTTCTTTAAGCAGTTTCAGCAAAATAATTGCCATTGAATTGCAGTGAATAATTGAATAAAGTAAAGTGAAAACATACTGAGTAACGAGAAGAACATCGATTGTTGAAGGATCAATTTCATCAAAGTAAGGCAGCGCAGCCATGCCCGAGAAAGCTGGATGAATGCCGCAGTCAAACTAAGGGTAAAAAACAAATACGTCCCGTTAATAATTCGAAATCCGAAGCGAAACACAGAGACGAGCGAGCACAAACATGGCAGCAACGCATACCAAAACAGTTTTGCCCTTGTAAGACATGTGAACGCAAGAGCGGCCGACTTCATTTCCCGCCCCAAGAGGTGTAATAATAAGCTCATCCCCTTCACTCGTCGTCGAAGAAGCTCTCTTCAATGTAGAAGCCATACTCATCCCACTTGAGGATGTAGATCTCGCACCAAAAACTTCTTCTTCCTCTTGCAATTAATTTATCAAGATGAGAATGGAGGTTAGTGAAATCAAATCCCTCGTGGAGAAGCAAAATGGGTGGGGGTGGCTGCCTGGTGGTGATTGGTGGGAGAAGAAGACATTGAACACGAGACTAGGGTTTTTTCAGGTCTGACGGTACAGAGTGACTCTGCTGTGACCGAAACATTTTTTCCTTACAAACAATTTAATTGTGTAGGGCTTTTGATTTTTTTAATTTTGATTTAAATAATAAAATTTTAAATTTAATAATATTTTGATAAGTTATAAATAAAAATAAATAATATATTATAAATTTAAAATTAATTTTTAATATAATATAAATAAATAAAAATAATATTTAATTTAATAATTTTTATAAAAATAATTATAAATAATAAAAATTAGCCAAACAAATATGTTTAAGGGGGTTTGGCCCCAATTTACTGTACACATTGGGCGCCAAACACCCCCCCCCCCCCCTTTTTTTTCTTTTTTTTTTTTATTTTTAAAAAACAAAATTAAAATTTTATTTAATATTTATTATAATTAAATGAAAATAAATATATATATATAATATATATATCATTTTGTAGAGAATAAAATTTTCTATAATACAAATAAATAAAAATTTAAATATATATATATTATGTATAATATAAATTTTATCAATTAAATTTAATACACATTTATATTATTTTATTCATTATTCATCAAATCAATACACATCAAAACACCCGAAACTCCAACCAAACCCAAACACAAAAGAAACAACAAAATCCAAACTCATCCCAAAATTTAAATAAAAACCAAACTCAAACTCAATTTTTCCCAAACTCCCCTAAAGAAACATATCCTAAGAGTTCGTCCTTTCCACTGTTATTTATTTATTTATTTTTAAATTTGATTCTCTATTTGTTTTTAGTTTTATAATATATTAATAAATAATATTTCTTCCGTCCACCTTAAAAGTTTATGTATGTTTTTTGTATCTTGACCTATGAATATTAATTATTATATCAAAACGTAAAACAAATTAAGAAAAAAAAGCAAAAATATTTATATTAGTGTCTTATAATACTAATAGAATGACGTTTATACAACAAATTATAAAAATATAAAGATATTTTTAATATTAAGTACAATGATTTAAAAGGTAAATATAAATTTATTAAGTGGACGGAGGAAATAATATTTTATTAATCAGTAAAAAATATAGGGTAAACTGTTTTTTAGTCGCGTAACTGGACCTCTTTATCATTTTAGTCATGTAAGTGAAGTCTGTCGAAAACTAGTCACATAAGTGAAAAATTTTCGTTGTTTTAGTCCTCCGGCGCCGGAGACGCTCGCGTGGCTCGCCGGAAGCCACATGTCCGCCAGGTGTCCCGCCAGGTTAGCGACACTTGGCGGACACGTGGATTTTATTTTATTTTTTAATTTATTTTAATTTTTTTTTCAATTGGACCAAATAAAAAAATTAAAAAAATAAAATAAAATTAAAAATTAATTTTAAAAAAATAAATAAAATAAATAAAATCTAAGCGGACACGTAGCCTCCGGCGAGCCATGCGTGCGTCTCTGGCGCCGGAGGACTAAAACAGCAAAAAATTTCACTTATAAGACTAGTTTACAATAAGCTCTATTTACGGGACTAAAATGACAAGGGTCCAGTTACGGGACTAAAAAACAGTTTATAAGAAACCTTTCTTTGACTTTATGAATTTATGTATAAATTAATTATATTTATAATAGTATTACTTGTAACTTAATATTAATGAATGATTGTTTTTATAAATGAATAACTTTGAGTGAGACGAGCGAAAATTATAAAAAATGTATTTTGAATTGAGAGGAAAAAATATTATTTTTTAATTTTATAATTTATTTATGATAAAAGAAAATTAATCTTATTCTTTTTTATTTAATACAATATCACTCTATTAATTTTTAAGAAATTATATTCCCTCTGTCCCTTAATAATCTATTGATCATTTTTTTCATTTTGGTTTATCCCATAACAAAATATTTATTTCTTTTTTTAGTAATTGTATTATTTACCTAACATTACAAATACCTTTCCAATTTACAATATATTTCACAAATGTCATTACCTTTATATCATACAATACTAATAGGATTAATTTAATCTTTTTACCTTTATTTTTACTTTATCCCAATATAATATTAATATTTCTAAAATTCCGTGCAAAAACCAAATGGATATATAGATATGGGACGAAAGGAGTATCATAATATTATTATTTTTATATTTATATTTATTTATTTTATCTCAATATTAAAAAAGATTATATTTCGTTTAACAATTCATGAACGATAAAATTTTGTGTCCAACAAATGAGTCAACCAACGTATCGGTCATAGGTTTAATATATTTGTCTTAGGAGTTACTAAATCGAGATTTTTTAAATCTATGTATATTCTAATCTTTTCATTTTTCTTTGTGATTGGTACTAAATTGGCAAACCTTTTGTAACATTACTAAATAAATCATATCTTAAGAATTTTTTCAATTTCTTCCATGTTCTATAGCATCAAATTTATGGGTTTATACATTTATATATGTATATAGTATATTTTATATTCTTTTTTAATAGATAACCTATGTTCAATTAAATTTCAGTCAAAATTTTACATGTTGGTATAACCTAAGTTATACAATCCAAAAATTGCTTGATCATTTCTAGTATTTGTTCATGTTGGCTTGTCGCTAACAAACCACTTATTTGAATACTTTGTTTAGATATTTTTCAACACCTAAATTGTATTAAAGCAATGGATCTTTGGCCAAAAAAGATGGTTCAATTTTTCTATCAAATCAAGACAATCAAATTCATTTATTCTTTTGTAATACGCCCTGCAAAATATTAATTCAATCTATTCCTAACAATGCTTCGTAATCAAAAAGAAAATCGTAAAAATCATTTTCGAAGTCCTATTTCTATATGTGTGACCATTATCCCAGTAGGCTTTATAGGTTGACCTGTGAGGCTAGTAATTTTAATGTCTATTTTGTTAGATTAGTCACATCTTTGCCCAACTTCCTCAATGTCTTCAAATGTATCATATTAAAGATATCCCAATTACTGACGAATACGCTCTCGATCGGCTTGTCTCAAACATAGGCATTCATATATAACGACTTTAGATGAGGGACACCCTCATTAGGAAAAGGGCGTGAAGGAAATTGGGTTTTTTTTTTCTCTTTGTTCACATGCGCAACGGAACCATGCTATGTATTGTCATCACAATCCAATCAACCATCTTCTACTTCTAATTCGGCTTAGATGTGTTCCTCATCAAATGACTTGAACCCATACATCCCAATATGCGATTATGGGCTATTGAATGCCCTTTTTTTCTCATTTGAAGGGGTATTGACTTGCAATTCAACCATATAAATGTCATTATTGGATAGCTCAAGATCTTCATCTTCAAAATTCAATAACTCGTCTTGTAAGGAATGACCTAGTGGTGTGGGGGTGGACTTATGATCATGAGGTCATGGGTTCAAACCCCCGACGCCTCCATGTCATTTTCCATGCATGGTTCGCCTAGTGTGACTTACTTTGTTAGGCTTAGTTTGCAGGGTACTAGGTTCGGCCGGGAGTTTACCCAGTGCGCACTTTCGGGTAGCGGTTGCGAATTCCCACATTATATAAAAAAAAAATCAACAACTCTAGCGTTGTCTTTCTTTGAACTCTTTCTCACACTATTTAAGATATTTTCATTCAAGAGTACTTGCAATATTTTACGGTGAAAATGAACCAAAGGTAACTATTGACTTTTCTTTAATATCGCAATTGTGTAACTTTAGGTCGATATTGATCTAGCTATAGAATTTGCACTAGAATTACTTCAATATATTTGACTTTGGCCTTTTTGAGGTCTTTTTCTTTTTATCTATCTTTTGTTCTCCATTTTAAATTAACTTGCCTTTAATCTTTATTTTTTTTCACAATCCTTTGTTATTTTATCGATCTATAGTGACATTAAGTTCAGACGATAATCATTGTACTTTCTAGCATGAGGCCATGCTCGTCCCCGATCTAACACTTGATATTGTCTTTTTGCCTCTTGAATCTATATATAATTCATTCTCAGAAAATATCCATCTACATTGATTGTCAAAGGTTTTTTATTTGAAGTTTACTTATGACATGCTTGTTCTACATTGGGAGACGGCACATAGAATTTTTTCAGACAATGATTTCATTCTTCACATCCACTTCATAAGTATGATATGACCGATCCCAATTTTTGGCCACTGGCCTTGAGTTTGTCTTATATCTACTTTCATTTTCCCTTCGATCACAAGAGTATGGCTTAGTAGACCGATATTTATCCTTTTTTATTATAGGACGGTCGAATCTCAATTTTTTATTTTTTATTTTTGCCTTTGTCCTTATTTGATTCTTCATGTCCTTTTCCAATTAATCATTTTTTCTCTATATTTCAAATTATGGAATTCATATTACTTTTTCTAACTGAAATGATAGACATAGCAACTGTGTAAAAAGGTTATTGTTCCACTCCCAATGTAATTATTTTAACTTTTCTCTTTTAAGTGCCTTTTGTATTCCTTAATGGAAATAAGTGCATTGATTGGTGTTGTGGGTAGATAAGTGAGTCATTTACAATATAGTATACCTTTCATTTTCTCTTTTGAGGCTAACCTTTGACCCATAGAAATCTGAATTTGGCTATCTACTAACAAAATATAAAAATACCACATGTTTTTTATACATCGAATGAGGGTTTGATCTTTATTCACTTCATTCCCCGGTATTGACTTTAATTTCAAGTATATATGTTTTTTTCTTTTACGAGTTCGGATGTCATCTCCTCAATTTCCATTGAATTCGTCAATTAAAGAGTTGCTAACAAAAATGATTGAGAGAAATGAATTGACCAATCTTGTGGTAAAGAAAAATATGCATGTGCAATTATGAGATTAATTGACTGTGCCTGACATCAATGATTTGGCTCAATTGGCTTTGTGGGACAATTTAAGCTCTTTCTGGACTATAAACTCTTTCTTCTATATACAATACATTATTATATATTCATCTTTGGACTTGAGTTGGTTTGTAAAGAGAGTTGTTTCTCCATTGTACTATTCACAAATTAGGGTGCATTAATTTTGGGATGACTTATAAAAAGATATATATT